TAAAAGCAGCATTTGACTCGGTAGACCGCGAGATTCTGTGGCAATGTCTGTCATTGAAAGGCGTACCCCAGAAGTACATAAACCTTGTGAAGGCTCTTTACTCGAACACTACTAGTCGAGTCAGAGCTTATGGCGAACTGTCATCTACTTTTGCAACCTCAAGTGGTGTCCGTCAAGGCTGTCCACTTTCCCCATTTTTGTTTAACTTCATCATAGATCTACTGATGGAAATAACTTTCTCGTCGACTGAGTTCTCGGGTATTGATATCAATCCAGGAGGTCCACTTATCGACTTAGAATACGCAGATGACATAGTCCTGTTTGGTGAAGACGCTGACAAAATGCAGTCTTCTGGTAGCACTGAGCAACAATGCCAGGATGTTTGGAATGAGCTTCTCTCCCTCTAAATGCAAGTTGTTGCTTCAGGACTGGTCTGCGTTAACACCTGAACTAAGGATAGGGAGTGAAGTAGTCGAACGCGTTGACAACTTCACTTATCTTGGAAGTCTGATCAGCACGGATTCGAAAAGCTCGCTTGGCTTTTGCCAACTTGCGTCACCTTTGGCGAAGGCGAGATATCCGTCTATCAATAAAAGGACGAATATACTGTGCGGCAGTCCGTTCTGTTTTAATTTACGGCAGCGAAACATGGCCATTAAGAGTAGAAGACACTCGTAAGCTACTAGTATTTGACCACAAATGCCTTAGAAATATTGCTGGCGTCTGCTGGGATTACCGGGTAAGTAATAGTGAGGTTAGACGCAGGGTATTAGGGAATGATGGTAAATCAGTTGATGAGGTTATGAATCTTCATCGACTGAGATGGTTGGGCCACGTGTTACGTATGCCTGAACACCGATTACCACGACGTGCAATGCTATCCGGTATTGGAAATGGTTGGAAGAAAGTTAGGGGCGGCCAAACCAAAACGTGGCATCAGTGCTTGAAGTCACTAACTTCTAGTCTGAGCCATGTTGGTAGATGCAGACTACTTGGTTGGGGTCCGCGTGACTTTCGTAAGCAATGGTTGGAGACTCTTGGTGACATGGCTCAGAATCGATCACAATGGCGTCGGTGTATACACTCCCTGTCTTCCCTTAAACTAAGAGATTAAAATTGCTTCATATCTTTCTTTCTACGAACCAATTCTTTCTTCTTGTACTATATCTCTATATGCAATCTTTCTCCTACATATTACTACCTTTGACCTAACCACTGCTATGAATCCGGTGTTCATCTTGTTGTGCTGATGCGGTATGGCAACCTGGACCGATGCACATATGTGCCTGGTCCTACGTTGTAGCTGACTCACTGACTGATTCGAACTTCGCAGAAGACCCGGCCCTTCTATCCAATACGCGCAAATAAACGCAGGTCAAGACAACTAGTGTAACAGAAACCTATGCATCAGTAGACCTCAATATACACAAGGAAAAAGGCAAGATCCTCAAATGCAACGTGGAGAACACCACCGCAATCACACATGATGGAGAACACATGCCCGTACCTGGGTAGCACCCTCCATGAACAAAGAGGATTGGATGCAGACGTAAAGGCGAGGATTTTCAAAGTTAATGCCTCATTTTTCCAAGTGAAGAACATATAGAACTCAAAACAACTGTCAACCAATATCAAAGTCAGAATCTTCAATACGAACGTCAAGACAGTCCTAGTGTACGCAGCTGAACCGTAGAGAACTACCACAACCATCATTAAAAAGGCACAAGTATTTATAAATTTTTCTACATAAGATATTCAATATCCTTTGGCTTACTGTGGGGGAGGACAAACCAACTTCCAGATAAAGAAGAAATTAGGAAAAGACGTTGGAAATTGATATGACACACATTGAGGAAATCATCGAGCTTCATCACGAGGCAAGCACTAGCTTGTAATCCTGAACGAAAACGGTAAAGATGAAGGGTGAAGAACACACTACGTCGAGAATCGGAAACAGACCTCAAAAGGATGAATAGCAACTGGGAAGAACTGGAAAATATTGCCCCGGACGGAAATGGATGGAGAATGCTGATGAGTGGCCCATGCTCTTCCATGAGGGGCAACAGGAGTAAGTTAGTAAAGTAATAATAACTATTGAAAATTCGTGTTAAATGCAGTGATGGCGGAACTGCCGTTTAAAAAAATACGGAGGTGTGTGGAATGAGATTGAAAAAAATATTGTAATACAATTCGTGACGAATTGAAAAAATAGAGTTTAAATCAAATTGTGAGTCGCCGTGAAAACAACCTTCACTCGATCTCTTAACATTCTCGATTGTCCTGAACGATGGCGCCGCAAATGGAACAGTGAAATCTACGGGATCGTGGTTGTGGGTCCCAGGCACAAAACGAATGAGACGTTTTTGATGGAGTTTTGTTCTATGAGCTGGATGGTTTGGTCGTGGAACTTTCATCGTTCTTCTGAACGACATCATCAGCACAAACTTCGTACAGAAGTGAAGTGTTCGAATTTCTCCATATGTGTTTCACAGATTGTTCTGTGCACCTCGATGTTGATTGGTTCTTATTGACCTTAAATTTGTCATTGTTTACTTCTTTGTTTTGGTTGTGTCTCCCGTTGGTTTGATTTTTGTTCCTATATTTGTGCATGATTTTCCTGATTGGTTGATAAATTGGGTCGATTTCAATGTGCTTGTGATTGCTGACTGACCTGAGCGCCAGGCTTCTAAAAATTTTTTGGTGTTTTCGGAATTTCCTCTTTCCAAGATTTCCACATTTTTCCAATCGAATGAGTGTCCGCAGTTGTCCACATGTATTGATATAAGTGAGGAAGTATCATGGCGTTTGACTGCTACTTGATTTTCATGCAGGCGAAGGTGAAAGGGGCGTCCGCTCTGTCCGAGGTAGTGTTTTTCGGAGTTCGCCAAGCTCCACGACCAAACCATCCAGCTCAGAGAACAAAACTCCATCAAAATCGTCCACCTGAGCTACATATTTTCTCCACCGTCTCAGAATGAAACGTCGCATTGCAGCGACAAAATATCAAGTGATTCTATTAGCAGTTTCACTTGGCGGCTGAGCAATGTTGCAAGTGTCACACAGTCTGTTTCAAAGTCCACGTCCGTTAATCTGTGTATCTAAGAGTTGGTTTCGTACCTCAGGTAATTGCACTCATGCTTGTGATACACATCCCCATGAACAACAATCCAGTAACCTTTAATAAACCTACAATATATGATGAAGGCTGGACATTGAATGATCATCGCAGTCCTTCATGAACAATATAACACTATTCAAATTACCTCCTTCGTTCAATCGACTGTGATGATCTGCTAGGTGTTCTACGGACATTTCCCCAACATACAAAAGATGCTCTGTCGACGTGTACTAACATTTTATATCAATTTTAAGAAATAACTAACCAATTATTACCAATTTAAAACTTAACGTTTAATTGGGCGAAACGGAATTTAAAAAATTAAAAATGGGATGAAAAAATAGAAAAATCGCCGTGCGTTTAATGATATTCTATAAATGAGTATGTTTTAGACTAGGCTTAAAAAATCTCCACTTGTACCACTATTGATGTTCATACTTTGCGTCGTGAAAATCGCAATGGTTCCTCGTTTCCTCAAGCATAAGTAATAAACGAAGAGTATATAAAAAAGCCTGTGCACATATATGCCAGGTTTCACATTGTTTATAATTCATGCACAATGCGAAAACACACCAGTGCTAAATCAAGTCAGTAATAACCCAAAAGTGACTTTATTCTATTTTATAAAAAAGTGACACTGAGCGAAATGGTATTGAAAATCCGAAGAGATAGTAGTGTCTTTTGCAATGGCAGGTATGCTTCCTGCTGTTAACCCTTAAACAACTAAGAAACCAGCTTCAATTTTGTTCACTCACACCTTTGTTTTCGGGTCATAGTGACTTGACACTTTATAATATCATGTAACGTGGTAAATAAAATTGTACCTTTTTTAAGTACCCACAAAGTTATCATAAGAAATATATATTTACGATTTAACATAACAAGAAATCCCAAAATAAATATCCTATCCTGATAATTACAATGTGCTAACTAGTGACTAGCTTCGTGAGGGAATACTCAGGGTTCTAGTGAGAAGCCGTGACCTGTGGAGCTAATCCGTGTCGGGTAGAGACAGGTATCTACCTCAGTACAATGAAATATGGTCGCACAATTTCACGGATTGGTTGACGTTAAACATTAACACAGTTGGATGCCGGCCAGCTCAGTGGTCTAGAGGTTAAACGTTCGTGCGCGAGATCTCTAGGTCATGGGTTGAAATCCCGCAAGCGGAATCATAGATGAGCACTACTAAAGAGCCCCACAATTATTATTATTATTATTATTAGCTTTATTCAATATTATATTATTGGTACAATATAGAATTCTCAGCGTAAAGTATTTCAACAAGTTTCCGTTTCTTTCTTCTTGGTCGGTCCTCGCGATAAATACTGAGTGATCGCCAGCTAGATGTTAACAGTCCAGTAAATGAACATCTGAATAATGTACATTCTTTTCGTTGTATATTGCCAGCAACAATATTCTCTCTTTTTGAGCTTTTTGTAACTTTGACAACGAAAGGTTGTACACTTTTCAGAAACGCAGCAAAATAGGTTGTGCGATTAATAGACATAATGATATATTAAAACAAACAAAGATAGATAACTTGTCGAAATATCTAGATGGCAGGAACAGGTAGCCCAGATGCTCAAGCAGGCCGCCTTGTAGGACGAAACGGCCGTCCAGTACTTCCAACTTTTCAATAATCATCTAACATCAATGGATTCATCATCTCAATCAAAGAATTACTTTAAGGCATGATTAAAATTGAAATTTACATTAACTATAAATATCTAGTTAAAGTGTTTTGATTATGACAGTAATTCGAAACGAAAATTCCAATGAAAATGAATATAATTTTTTATGAATAAAATATTAAATAAAAAAAATATTAAATATTATCAACAAAATATAATTATGAATAATATTTATTATTTTATTGAATAATTATTTCATAATTTGTACATTGGATTCATATATAATACAATTATCATCTTAATAAGTTGATAATCTGTAATATTAGGGAAATTCTTTATTTTATTTTAAATACAATTTATCTATGAGTCTAGAAGAAGAACAAGAAGAAAAAAAAGAAAGAAATTCACTGAAGAATTAAAAACCACAAATTTCAGCGAAAGGATCTCTTTTCAACGAAGTTATTGTCAATCTATACAATCGTGTACATATATATGAAAAAAAAAGTTTTTTCTTCGGAAATCAAAATATGAAAAATCAAAGACTTATTGAAAGACAATAATCATAATCATAATAATAATAAAAAGAAAATATTACATCTAATAAAATAATATATTTACCATATTAAAATAAATATATTGACATTATATAAGTAGTCTATAGAATTCATACATTGAATTTATTGAAATGTTTAAAAGTAATCATCTTACTCTTTCTTCATCTATCCAATAGATAATGCTTAAAGAACAATTACATCATCAATAGAAAAGAAGAAATATTCAAGGAGCTTAAAAAATAAATTTAAATTCATTATGCATATAGGTTTTATATTGTATGGTACCAATTTACTGTATATAAAGAACATGAAATAAAAGGATAACAAAATTCATCACTTTTGAAGCATATTATTTAGATGTATAATTTATTATTTATTATTTTTTTGAGCAAATACTCTTGACAACATACATTTAAGTATCTGAATTCTAGAAATCAATTTAAAAAGACCAAAAAAAAAATTGTTGAATCGGTTTGGAAATAAAAACTATATAACAAATAACTTCTTCTGCTATTGTATTTATCTGAAAGAATGACAGTAAACCAAGCAACTTTCCGTCTCATAATCTAATTGTATTATTTAGCTAAAAGATTGAGAGAAAAAAAAAGTAGTAAATGAAAAATTGATTAAAATTTCAATGGTACAATTCATGAATATACATTCTGAACAACTATCATATAAATTTGAATAGCTTAATAAAAGTATACAATAGTCATTAAACATACAGTTATATTTCTTAAGAATATAATATGATTATATCTCACTGAATTAAATTATAATTCCTTGAATCACATGATGGAGATTAACATTTAATCTGTTCAGCTCCAGTTAACTAGTCACTGTTCTCAAATCATCGAGTTTATAACTACTTCAAAGTACGACTATATTAAATACTCAGAGTGGATGAATATCACATTTTATCAGTTAAAGAATCGAAGGAGAAGTTTTACATGAAAATGATTAAGAATGAATACAAATTAAAAATAGAATGTAGCTAATCATTTATCAATCACACAACAAATAAACTTAAAATTTCTCGAAGAATGCTGAACTCTTAAATACACATATAACTAGACATTTATAAGACAAATCTTATTAGTATCATTGTTCGCTTTTAACTAATATTCCCCAAATCATTGAAATTCTTTTTATCTCATTCCACAAAAACAAACTGGCAAATTAAGACTTCAATTTCACAGCTCCATTTTTACAGACTAGGTTAAAATGTATAATTTATTTACCGAAATGAATAGTGTAATTGAAATAAAGTTCAGTCATTTATATTTCTATAGCTATCATTCATGAGTACATAACTTTGGGAATGTAGAATAGAGTTCTTTTGCTCAGATTAACAAGTTATTCATTTACTATGAAATTCGCTTCACTCGAGTATCTGACATATTAAAATTCATTGTCTTTCAGTTAGACGTTTAGAGCTAAATATCAAACTGCGGTCATATAGGATATTTGTTATTCTTGTAAAACATTGTTTAAGTCTAGATGAAAATGTATTTTTTATTTATACACGGTTGGTGAAAAATATTTTACATCGTACTCTTTCGATTTATCCATCATATAAAACCCATCGATATAGATAAATAATAAGTCGAGTAACTTGGAGATTTATAGAATGTTTAACTGAGCATAGTTCACTACGAAGATCTACACTTTAATATTATTAGCATTCTTTTTTGTTAAACGTTTAGATGATTTTAACTATTTTTTTATCAATACCAAATAGAATTACTCCGTTAAACGTTCACAGCTTTTTATATTTACACCAGATGATAAACAGAATTTATATAATCTAACTTGACATACTACATTTTAAGGAAAAACAACCCAATAAAAAAATGAACCCAGTAAAATCATTTCATTTCTAAATTATAAAATCATTTTACGTACAAAAGAAAAAAAAGAGATTCATTTTTATATTGATTTGTTCAAGTTTTGTAATTCTTGTCATTTAAGACATTATCGAGGCAATCCATATAGGATACACATATACTAAAAGAGATTAATAAATTCCCGACCTAAACAATTATAGCAATATTCAAACAACCAATTCAAATCTAAGTTATAAAAACACAAAATGGAAGGGTATATTTACTTTGATGAAGTTGGGTCTTTTTATAGTTAGTATAACTATTGATTAATTGAATGTGTTACTTTTCCATGATAAAATAAATGACTAGACATATTCCCAACTTTACACGAAACACTAGTTGTTTATTGGGCTGTTATTTATTCACGTTGAAACTGTACATTATTCATTTCGACATAAATAATTTAATATTACTGACATTTAGGTGCTAAAATGTCAACAGGGATATTTGATTTATATTTGGCTATTCTTCTAAATGCCTCACTTGAATGCACAACTATGAAAGCTTATGAGGCGTTATTGAAAAGAATATTTTTCTTTCATATATCTGTGTTTTAAATAATAATTTTATTCAAGATACAGGTTTCTAGACAAATAGCGAAACACATTTCCTCTTATTATTTACTTTACTTATTTATTTGAACAGATAAATGTTGGTATAAAAGGGCACCGAATACATATGCGCCATACAACTGACTTGATTTGTGTGTGGGCTGTGACCATGCTTGAGTGCTCAGACCGAAGTAGGTGGTCAACGGAATTTATTTTATTTATTTATTTGAACACATAAATATTGGTACAAGAGAGTGCCAATATATATGCGCCACACAAAACAATGGGAATTCGAAGAGAAGTAGAAAGAAAAAAAAAAACTAAGGAACGCAAAAGAAAAAGAGAGTAATGACGAAGAGGTACAATCAGAAGAAATCTTTCAGGTAAAGGAGACACAACCACTTTTTATGAAGAAAGTAAAAGAAGGTTACAGCAAGATCGCCACTGGCTTCTATTCTGAGCCATATCTGATAACGTCTCTAGCCACTGTGTTGCACCATCTCTCGGACCCCAGCCAGGGAGTCGTGAAGGACCAACACAAGCCAGTCCTTTGCAGCTTTCTTTCATGCCACGACACCATGTCATGCACTGACCACCTCTCCGCTTCTTCCAACCAGTCCCAGAGTCGGCAAATAATGCACGACGTGGAATTCTCTGGGACGACATTCGGAGAACATGTCCAAGCCACCGAAGTCGGTGTTTCAAGATGGTGACACCAATTGAGTTATCATCTCTGTGCCCGAACACACGATGCCGAACCTCTGCATTACTGACATGGTGTTGCCACTGAGTGTCAGCAATCCTTCGGAGACAGCGATGATCGAACACAGAGAGTCGTCTAACGTCCTCAACTCGGAGAGGCCAGGTTTCACAAGCATAGAGCAAAACTGCTCTCACCGACGCGTTGTAGATCCGGCCTTTTACAGCCAGACTGACATCACGAAGGCGCCAAAGGTGGCCCAGATTGGCATAAGCCGCTCTGGCTTTCACTATTCGTGCATTGATCTCATCACTCACACCCCCACCAGCACTTATGCAGCTACCCAGATACACGAACTTATCGACTACTTCTATCTGCTCACCATCCAGGGTGAGTACAGGATTGGAATCCTGCCAGTCTTGTAGAAGTACTTCGCACTTCGAAGGTGCAAAGCACATACCATACCTACGGACATTGATTGCCAACTGATTAAGTGCGGATTGCATGCCTTGGGCATTATCGCACAGTAAGACAATATCGTCCGCATACTCAAGGTCGAGAAGTCTTTCTCCAGGCAACAGATCCACACCACCATTACTTACATTCATCAGAGCTGTTTCCAGAATGTCATCGATGGCAAAGTTGAAGAGGAATGGTGAGATTGGGCAACCCTGCCTAACCCCACTGCTCGAATGGAACAATGGAGAGAGGTGGTTGTATGCCCTCACTCTGCCTGAGGTGTTTTTATACAGGGCTTTTAGGATGTTAATAAACTTCTCAGGCACACCCTTCTTCAATAGACAATCCCAGAGAACAGTCCTATCCAACGAATCGAAGGCAGCCCTGATGTCAAGAAACACTACGATTGTTGGCCTTTGAAAAGTATGGCGGTGTTCTAACATTTGGCGGAGGGTGAAGATATGATCAATACATCCTCGACCAGAACGAAACCCAGCCTGCTCCTCGCGAGTCAATCTTTCTCGGGTTTTGAACAACCTACGAAGAATGACGGAAGCCAATAGCTTGGACGCAATCGGAAGTAAACTTATCCCCCGATAGTTGTTACAAGAACGACGTGAACCCTTTTTAAAGATAGGGACAACTATCGACTCATTCCATGACGTTGGTACACTCTCTAGATCCCAAACCTTTGTAAACAACGTCGTCAATTCCTTAGTCAAAAAGTCACCACCATCTTTAAAAAGAGCCGGAGGTAAGTCATCTGGGCCAGGTGATTTGTAACGCTTCAAGAGTTGGAGTTCCTTGTGGACTTCCTCCTCATTTGGTGGATCAGTCGTCACCGGCCATGGAGGGCAGGACAGTCTGACCGATGTTACCGGAGCAGCAGGCCAGTTGAACTGCCCTTCGAAAAATTATGCCCATCGTCCAAGACGTCGATGGATGTTTGTGATTGGCATCCCATCATCCTCGCAGATTGTTTCACTCACACCAGACTTCTTGCTGCCAGTGGCTCGGATGAGTTGGAAGAGCTTCCGGTAGTTACCAGATGCAGCTGCTGCTTCCAGCTCATTAGCACGCATCGACCACCAGGCTTCTCGGTCCTTACGCAAGCTTTGCCCGATTTCCTTACGTAAAAACCTTCGTTTATGGTCAAACTCACGGTTACCCGGAGTAGACCGACGGGCTTCAATGAGTTGTAAGGAACCAGAAGAAACCCAGTGCTTAAAAGCGGGACGTTTCGCAAACCCACAACTGACTGTTCCCGCCATTTTCATGGCGTCATGCAATTGCAACCAATGCTCATCTATACTTTTCGGTGGAGTGGTAGCTAGCCTAGAGGCTAGCTCGGTTCGATACTTACTTGCAACAGAAGTTGCAACCAGCTTGCTAACATCAATCCGTTGATGGCGTTCACTTCGTTGTCCACTGAAAAGTAAGGCAAGATTGGCGCAGACCAAGGCATGGTCAGAGTCCAGATAGGTACTCCAAAAGGAGCGGCAGTCTTGTACACAACCACGCCAGCGGTAGCTGATCGCGATGTGATCAATCTGAGTCCAGGCTTGAGATGCAGAGGGAGGACGCCAGGTGGCACATCGGCGATGACTGTGCCGAAAGTTAGTGCTAGCCAGAAACAGGTTGTGGTCTGTGCAAAGTTGCAGTAGACGGTCCCCGTTATCTGACCTGCGACCAACGAGTCCCCATCGGCCACCTAAACGACTCTCTTCTGTGCCTAGACGCCCGACCTGAGCATTCAAGTCTCCGGCTAGTACTACAATATCTGTCGAACGCACTTTCTGGAGAAGAACTGATAACTGGTGGTAAAACTCATCCTTGATTGCATCCGGGCTGCAATCTGTCGGGGCATAGGCGGAGATGACGAAAAGACATCGTTTCTCACGCCGATTTCTTCTCACTTTGATGGAACTTTCTAATCTAACAGCACATAACCGACTGTTAATGGGGATCCAATCGACTAGTGCTGCCT